TTATTGAGCAATCACAAGATAATTTTTGAGTGTTAAAAATGAGTTGTGAGGTAGAAGAAAAACTAAATGAAGAAAAATTATATTAATATACTTTTCATTAAAGACTAAAGTTAAAATAAATGATTTATTTATACATATAACAATCTTTAGTAATGAACACCAGGTTTTAAGTACTAGCTGGATGAACAGATTGAGTAATTTCTTCAACAGCCTGAAAAGAAAACAGTAGAGATGGCTGATACAAACGCCACTTGTACATCAAGCTTAATTAGATCAGCAGAAGGGCTAAATTCCCCAGGTAAATGACACAAGTAACAAAAGTTAAATTAGGTAACATAGGAAATCTAATGTTGGTCACTGACAAAGTACCTTAGGAACAGATTAGATTTTTCAAGTAAAATTATCTAGGAGTACCTGAAATATATAAAATATGCACAACATTTGAATATTGTTATTAGTTCAGATAAGGCTGTAATAATTTTCACAAGACTGGCTTTCAACTCTTACCAAACTAGCACCATTGTACATGTGTGTGGGGGGGGGGCTTTTCTAAGACAACATAACATAGTGATTTTGTTAAAACCAGGAACTTTACTGACATCTGGGTTTTTTTTAACTGTCATTTAAAAATACAGTTCTGGCTGGAAATGTAACTCCGTGACAGAAAGCTTGCTTGGCATTTGTGAGACCCTGGGTTCTATCCATGGCACCAAAAAAAAAAAAAAAAAATTAAATAACAAGCCTAAGATGTAAATAACCATTTCCCCCAACATATATTGCTGCCGGACATGGTGCAAACTGCAAACCCTTACAGGACAGCCCTATCTCATCCACTTTCAACTTTGGAGACTCTGTCCTACCAAATCAGAGTAAGTTCCAGATCTCAAGTACTGTGAACATAGCAAACTCAAGTCTTGATCACAAATAGGTATTTATATTGAAAATGGTTTATATGTAAAATGACAGTAGAATAATTAACAAGCGCATGTAAGGATATATTTCTTCAGGGTAATGACAATCTTTTCTTTTTTAATTAAAAAAAAAAACCCTTATTTTTTGTGCATTTTTACGGGTTAAAAAATAAATAAACCCAGAGAGAATTAGTGTTACCAGAAGGAATTAATTTAGTAACAAAGTAGTAATACGTTTTGCAAAACATTTTCATATTTGCTTAACAATATCAAAGATACTTCTCAGATAACAAGCCAGTGTCACAACTTTTTATTTAAATTTTCAGAGATCAGAACGTCAAACAAAGACTGTCACACTTTTTCCAAATGCCCAAGTCATTTGTGATGGCTAAGTTAATGAAGAATAAAGCAAGAAAAAATTTTAGCTAAAGTATTTGGTGTGCTATCTTATCTTCTGGAGATACTAATTTTGGATGAATTTGACAGGCTTAAGGAATTTATTGTTTCTTTTGGATTGTGCCATTTGCTTTCATCTAGTTTTTTTAAAAAAAATTATTTATTATTTTTATTTTATGTGTATGAATGTATTGCCTGCATGCATGTAAGTGCACCTGTGCTATGCAATGCCCACAGAGGTCAGAAGAGGGTGTCAGATCCCCTAGAACTGCAGTTAGCTCCAGTCGTTAGCTGCTATGTGGAAGCTGGGAACTGAACCTGGGCCCTCTGCAAGAGCAGGCAATGCTCTTAACTGCTGAGCAATGTCTCTAGCCCACTGCTTTCATCTAGTTTTAATCATGCAAAGGTGACCCGATATCCTGATTTGCCTGAGATAGTTCTGCTACCTGGGCTGTCAGTCCAAAATATCTACTGATAGTGCCTCTCCCATTTCTATTTCAAAAGTGTCCCACTGAGCAATGGTTCAATGGTTAAGAGCACATACTGCTCTTCCAGAAGACCGAAGTTCAATTTCCAGCAACCACATCAGACAGCTCATAATCACTTATAACTCCAGCTCCTGGTGGGAACTGGTGCTTCTAACCTCTTTGGGCACCTACACACACAAATATAGATCTTTTTAAAGTGTCTCATTTTATATACTAGCTATTACTCATTTTTATTAACAAAATTACACAAATTCTGCAAGTTGAAATTTTGTTTCAAAATGTCTGTTTTAGAAATAACTTCACTGAAAAAAAAAGAAGTTGTAATAAAAGTTCACGGAAAAGCTAGAAAAACTGTGATTGTAAGAGTTTTTCCACTTTAATTTTTCAGGATTCTTTTTTGAGACAAGATCTCAATACATCATTGCCCAGGCTAGCCTTGAATGAGATCACTCTATCTCAGCTTCAAGTTTGAACCATCATGCCTTGCTGGGTTTATCCATCTATTATTTTTTATGACATTTTTGGAGAGGTGGGATGGGAAAGGAGACTTACCACTGTTTTATATCCCCAGCCTTAAATTTACTCACCTGAAATGACTCAAGCTATACAAAATAAATTAGAAATTCCCAATCAGATTTTTTTTAGAACTCATTCCAACTGCAATACCCACCTTTTCGTTAAGAACACATTAAAGATTTTATGCATGCTTTTCTCTCCAAGAGTTTCTATCTCTACTATTTTCATTAATTAAATCCATAAATATACCAACTCTCGTTTTTTTCTGTATAAGTCATTTGAAATGTAAACGGTACTAAATAAATTCCTACAAAAGAAAGACTTTGATATGCCTATTTCTCTGCTACAGAGTAACAAATTAAAATTGTTTCTTTAACGTAATATTCTATCATTCTTATTTTATTAACTAAACCTTATGAAGAGTCTAAACATTATTTGTCCAAAAGAAAGATTTTGGGGTATGGCAATTAGTGTCAGTTCAATGTTTCATGAAAAAAATAGCTCATATATAATCATTCAAAAATATCCCTTATTCAAGTATTAAATATCTTGACTTTATAAGGATTGCTCCTCATAATTGAAGCAGGTTTTAGTTTCTTGGTGGAAATAGTAGTGAAATTAAAGCAATCTTTCAAGGTAGCATACAGAAAATCTATAGTTTATGTACTCTGAAAAACAGCTACATACTATTCACATGTAATGTTACTTGTACATATAAGGTTGTGATTACTTTGCATTTCTACTATAGTTTAACATAAATAAATGTAGGGAACCAAATTGTTTTTAAAATGTTATCGATTTTGAGAAACCATACTTCTTTTTTAAAAATTATTTTATGTGTATTGCCTGCATATGTGCAAGTGCACCTGTGTCACGCAATGCCTGTGGAGGTCAAAAGGTGTCAGAGCCTCTGGAACTGGAGTTAAAGATGGTTGTCAGACACTATGTGGATGCTGGGAACTGAACCCAGGTCCTCTGTAAAAGCAGTCAGTTCTCTTAACCACTGAGCCACCTCTCCAGTCCCCAAGAAACCAATTTCTTTCAGACAAGACATTAGACTACTACCTTTAAAGTTTGAGTTCCATAATCTTAATATATAAACACACTTGGCATGAGATTTATTTTAAAACACACACACACACACACACACACACACACACACAAGCTCTAGGTAGAGCTGTAATAAACAAATTCCTTTTATAAACAAAATTTTAATCGAAAAGCCACAGTAGATGGAAAAGGAGAAAGGATATTACTTGGTAAGATCCAGTGAACATCTACAATAGTTTTACAGCACATTTAAGCATTCTAGGGCTTTATATCTTTACCTGCCTTCACTTCTTAGTTGCTCCTTATAAATTTGCCAGTTATGAACACAGATTTGACCTCAAACCGAGCCTTGAATTTGAATGCCAGGAAAAGCAAAAGTCGAAATTTTTATCTTAGCATTAGTTTAAATTAAAAAAAATGGTTGTTTAAAAAACATAATGCCCAACAAAATGGAGCGGGGTAGCAATATGTAACTATATATAATAGTTATTCGTTATATGGGAAGTGTTTTTAGAATGGTAACTAGGATGCACTTGCTCTGTGAGTCTCCTCAATAATTAAACTGACTTAGACCAACACTACCAAAATAAGAGCACTAAAGGGGCACACATTTACAATTTTGCTAGTCTTATAAAGGCAGTAAAGCAAAAGAAAATACTGTATAGTACATGCACATCTTACATAACTTCCACGGAACTACCAATGGCTTCTATGCAATGTGCCTTTTTTCTATAACTGCATAACCATCGACCAACAAAAGAAAGGTGAGATTTGAAGTAATGGTACTGAACTGAATTGTTTGAAGCCAGTGCCCCAAATATGGGGAAAGTGCATTTAGTTCAGCAGCAAAACAGCACAGTGTGAAGATATTGTGCTTAGACACAGATACTCCAGAACAGAAAGAAGTACAAGGCAAGGCAAGATAGAAAACCATAGCACACTGTTAAATACCCTTGAAACGAACATAGACTGCAGTCTTCAAAGAAAGACATTCATTTCATTGTACAAGGAGAGGGAGAAATCTTTAAAGTTACCTATTGTAGTTTACGATATAATAAATACATATCTATATAGCATTGTATATACATATATAGAATGTGTGTTTACGTGTAATTTATTTGCCAAATTTCTCTGTTAAGCTAGTTTTGTGGATCTGCAACTTTCAGGAATGGAAAAAAAAAAAAAAAGAAAAGAAAAAAAGAAAGAAAAGAAAAACTTTTCACAAGGAGGAGGGGGAAGGCAGGTGCAGAGCAAATGAAATTCTGTGGAGGCAGCAGACACAGAGCCCGAGAGCATCTGTCTCTTGAAGGATGGAGAGAGCCTATATATATATTCAGTTTGCTAGTTTTTCAACAAACAAGTATCTTTCAATACTTAAACTAGCTGATGCAAATTCTTAACAGAGGGTATAAACTCTAGATTTGACTGATTAAAACAGAGCAAATCAAAATTTTAAAAATCCAGTGATTTACTCCGACTGTAAACAATATATAAAATTTAAACTTCAAATTTCAAAATAAGTTAAAGAAAAATTCTACCTTCAGAACCTATGATACTAGAAAGATCTGATACTTGATAAGGGGAAAATGTATATGAAAAGTTGCAACTAAAGTTTTGGCCCATATTTTTCCAAGAGAAACATAATATCTAACTATATTACTTTTGTCCCTTAAATTTAATAACTTCATAATTTGTTGGCAAATTTTTAAGCAAACTGGCATATCATATTACACAGAAAAATTATCATATTAACAGAAAAATATCCATCAAATTTAGCAAAGAAAACTTATATAAGCCTTTTTTTGTACAGAATTTTTAAAAAAACCTAAATGGCTATGATTCCTCTATTAGCAGAAACACATAATGCAAGTCTTTATAAATCTGCCATATATCAATATCTACATAAATAGATACAGATATAGATATGAAACATCAATGGCAGTCTATTTCTGAACAGTGTGGGATCAGCAGTTTGTATCAGACCATGGCACGGTATGGACCCTGCATCTTTAAGAACTGAATGATGAAAGAAGGCCCTCCAGCAACAATTTGAGGTGGAAGGTGACTGAGCGGACAGTTCTCAATACTCATGATTGAAAGCTTGCTGCACAGAGCCAGCTCAAAGGGAAGGCTATGCAGGTTGGGGTTATCATTCAAATACAGTTCTTCTAAGTTCTCCAGTGTACCTGTTTAGGAGGAAAAAAAACAGTTACTACACTTATTTTTAAAACTCTTACAAAGCTGGGGTGGTGCACACCTTTAATGCCAGCAGCACTCAGGAGGCAGAGGCAGGTGGATCTCTGTGAGTTCAAGAACAGCCTGGTGTTCCGGCAGTGACTGTTCTACAATCCTGAATTATTTACTATCTGGCAAAAAACAAAAAAAAAAAAAAAAAAAAAAAAAAAGCTCTTACAACTGAAAATCTCAGACTTTGCTGCATATTCAAATCCACTGGGGAGACTTAAACCCCAACATCTAGGTCACTCTCCATATCAACAAAATCACAATCTTTCTGATTGGTTTTGAACCCTGGAGTTTTGTTTTTTTTTTTTTTTTGAAGATACTCCATTTCTAGAGATCCTGTTGGGAAACTCTGGCCTTCACATGTGCTTGTTTTTTTGTTTTTTTTCGGGGGGTGGGGTTGGGGGTCTCCCTAGCCCCACCTGCCTGGATTCACTATGTAGACCAGGTTGGCCTCAATCTCACAGAGATCCACCTGCCTCTACCACTGGAGGGCTAGGATTAAAGGCAAGTGCCACTGCACCCAGTGTCATATGTGGGTTTTTAAAACTAAATTTTAAAAATCAAAATTAGGATTATTTGACAATCTACTACTACTAAAAAAAGTAGTAAAACTAACAACTAGCAGGTAATAGAACAGTCTATATGTAAGATATTATTTATTCTTTAGGATAACCCTATATGAGATAAACTATTACTACCTTTATTTTATAGGTAAGAGATTAGAGGGTTACAGAATTTATCAGTCTTATCTAAGGCAAAAAGCTAGTTCGGTGGCAGAGTCAAATTTTATATTGTCTACCACCTCCAAAAACATTCTTTAAAACTAATCTATCTTGGGTTTGGGACAGCATATTGTAGGTAGCAGAACATAATTCACAGAACAACTAATTTAAGAATGACTTAATTGGGGCTAGAGAGATGGCTCAGCAGTTAAGAGCACTGGCTGCTCTTGCAGAAGACCTGGGTTTGAATCTCAGCACCCACATGGTGGCTAACAACCATCAATAACTCCAGTTCCAGGGGATCTGACACCCTCTTCTGTCCAACATTCCCCATCCATCCCCCCAAAATGGCGAAACAAACAAAATAATATACTGGTTAATTATTTTTAAAAATCAAAAGAAGGACAGTAAAAAAAATAATTTTTTAGCATAAGACATTACTAATTTAATTCAAGCTTATATAATTTTTGAATTAATAGAAAATAATTCTAAATTGAGATTTATATCTAAACTCTAAAAACATAAGCATTCTAGTCAAAAACATTACAAAAAAAAGAGTATTCTAAACCATTCTTAAATACAGTATTAATTCTAACACTCTATGAGAAAACTTTCAAAAATCAATCAACCAACACAAACAGCCATTTTTTAAACAGCTTGATAAAACTTGAGATTATAAAAATGTGTATCTGTCAAACTTATATAAAAATTGTTTGAAAGCCCAACAGCAAATTATTAGTAGAGCCAAGTATTCACAGGTTCATACCAATTTCCTCAGGAAGATGAGTAAGCAGGTTCTCTCCAAGACCAAGATGTGTGAGATTGGTAAGGTGACCAATACCTCTGGGAAGAGTGGTCAACTGGTTGTTGGTCAAGACTAATTTCTAAAAGAGTAACAAAACGAAAGGCAGTTAATGTGTATATTTCCTACAACCGATGTAAACTCAATATAGCTAATCAATAAAATAAAAAGGAAATCAAGCTGGGTAAGTTCTGCTTAGTGAATTAAAAGATTTTTTTTTTTTCAAAAAAAATATATTTGTTGGGAAAACAAAAGCAGACAGGGTGAATTTTATGTTCACACAAGTTAAAGACCAAGTAGATCAAAACCTGAAGAAAAGTGAGGAGTGGGTCCCAAAAACTTTAGTCATATAATTATAAAACCACCAGGAGGATGCTTTTACCTGTAAATCCTTGAGATAAGCAATTTCATTTGGCAAGGATTCCAATTTGTTCTCCTCCAGATCCAACTCCCTTAACTTTCTAAGGTTTCCAAGACCGTGGGGAAGCTTCTTTAGAAGATTGTTTGATAGTATTAGAACCTAAAGAGAAATTAGCAAGAGCATTTAGCAACTCATGAAATGACATATTATTGCTGTGTGACTTAAAATGTATTAAGCACTGCTAATTTTAAAAAAATGACTATTAAGCGTAACACTCAATTATAATACATGAAATAATTTAATCAAAAAATTTAAACTCGCCAGGCATGGTGGTGCACACCTTTAATCCCAGCACTTGGGAGACAGAGGCAGGCAGATCTCTGTGAATTCAAGGCCAGCCTGTACCAGGTCCAACTGACAAATCTAAATGGCAACCCTTTCATCCAAGATTCAGGAAACACTGGAAGAGTGGGAGAAAAAACTGTAGGAGCCAGAGGATCCAGACGCCTGCTAGGAGACAGTGTCTTCTAGACATGACAGGGATGCTGCATCCATGAAATCTCAACGATATGGTTGCCTTAACAAGACCTGCACAGTAACACCACTAGTAAACATGACAATGTGGATAGGGACACTTCATAAGGCTCCACCTCTAGAGGAACAGCTACAGGCAACCAATGGTTGCTGAGAGAGGGAAAAATCAGTTTTCTCCAAGGGTAAACACCATGATAAGATAACCAATTCCAAGTGGTCATCTCCAAACACATGTACATACAAGCAACACTAAATGGACTCAGCAGGCTGTGTGTGTGCATATATGTATGTATAATCATAATTATGAGAGGTTATGAATTTGAGAGTAAGGGTAACATACAGGAGAGGTGGAGGGGATATAAAGGGGAATAGAAATGATATAAATAACAGTACTTATGTATGAGAGTCTCAAAAAATTTACTTTAAAAAGGCAAAAATGTTATAACTATTCGCACTAAGATTCAGTAATATATTTTGACAGTGAATAATTACAAATATCTAATAATAAACCAATTGTTTATCTAAAATTCCTTAAAAATATTCACAAGGAGCTGGAGAGATGGCTCAGCACTCGGAGCTCAGAGCTCACTGACTGCTCTTGCAGAGGACCCAGGTTCAATTCCCAGCACCCACATGGCGGCTACGAACCGTCCTTGACTCCAGTTTCAGAGGAATCCGAAGCCCTCTTCTGACCTCTATGGCACTGCATGACACAGGTACACTTACATACAGGCAGACAATACACTCATACATATAAAATAAAATATTTTTAAAAATTCACTTAAGGTAA